GATTGTCCTGTCAACTGTAAAACAGTTTTTTATTTCTCCTATTTTATGTGTATTGCTCATCAGATGTAACTGCCTCTCTGGGCCTATGGAATTAGGGGACTTGGTTCACTAGCACACTTGTTTGTGTGTTTAAAAAATATAAATTAAAGAATAAATTTGGTTTAGTGTGTTTCTTTGGGGCTTTTTGTTTTGTTTTTCAGCCCAGAAATAAAGAAGGTCTCTAGAAACAGTTACCCAGCTCAAACTTAGTGTTTTGCAGCCATGTGCTTTCGGCAGCTGCCTCTGACTCGGGTGGCAGCAGCCAGCCAGGCCAGGAGAGTATAAAACTAATGTGAGTGAGCCAAACCCTGTGTGCATTCCCAGGCATTCCCACCTCGGGGAATCCAGGCATGGCTGACTCCTAGAGGAACTGAAATACTGTGTGACTAGCATAGAGTTCACACTTTTTATTTTTCTCCTGAAAGTGATATTTCATGAGACAAGCAGTTGCAGTTCTGAAATGAGGAGAGAGCTGACATACATTTAACCAAATGGTATCCGGCACCCATACAAGAGAGTCAGAAAACACAGATAATATCTCGCTTAACAAGCAGTATTTTTCCTGCTTTTTTTTCTTTTTTTTTCTTTTTTTTTTTCTTTCTTTTTTTTTTCAGTTCTAGGGCCTAACAGTTAAGGAAGGTGAAAAAACAGTACGAATGTTTCCACATCTAACATTAAGAGATATCCTAGAACAAACCAGGCTGTGCTGCACTCTGCAAAAGCAGGAAGAAGAAACCCTCAATATTAAATACACACACACAAACCCAACATTAGTTTGTGAAAGAATAGGGAATGAGATTTCTATAAGACATCCTGCCCTAGCTTTCTTTTCAACAGTAGTAGCACACAGCAGCACCATTCTGGCATGAACTGAATCATTCTCAGAGCTGGATATACATGTTAAAGGAGCACCAGGCTAAGGACTTCGGCAGAAATAAAGGACACTAAAACCTTATTGAACTGGCCAGGTTTTTCCCCTTCCTCTCTTTCCTTCTGGCTTCAAGTATATTTCTAGGGTAGAGATGAAGAAAGTAAAATAGAGAGAAGTTAAAAGTCTTACCAGGCATCACTGATAGGTTAGGCTCTTTGATTATTTTTATACAGAGATGGCAGTGTTGAAAATCTGACACCATCTTACAGAGATGCAGATTGAAATAAAGGAATATTTGATACAACCTGCAGTTGTAATTCTTTCTATTTATGACTTAACCAAGAGCAACACGAATCAGTGGTAGCACCAGAAACAGAACTTCAATTCCACAGTTAAGGTGGCTTTTTATAATAATTTTTTAAAAACCCATCCCCTCCACCCCAAGATTAGATTCTATTTTTTTATGCCTCACTTCTTAAGCTACTTTGCTCTGTTATGTGTCTTTTGAATAATTTTCCCCAGTACTGGTCACTAGGTATTGGGATAGCATTTAGCTCCTTGTCCTTTGACTGGTTGTTGTTCTGGGCATGTCTGTTTGAAATTAAAATGGAAAGCATTCCCACCTTTCCCCACTCCCCTTCCATTTCTAAATTCAGTGGAAAAAGAATGTTGTTGAGATTGTGCATGTGTAAGATTGCCATGCTGTAATGAATTTACCATGGTGTAATGATTTAGATGTAGTTAAGGCATGAAATACAAATACGATGCTCTAGAATCCAAGAGACAGAGCTCAATAAATGGATCTATTTTAAATCCACTATTTTTGTCCTGTCTTTTTGCATGTATGGATTTCTCAATCATGTGTAACAAGAAGAAATCAAATTATATTAAATGGGTCATTAAAGACAAGTTTACTAAGTTTTCTTAACTGCACTCTCCTGCAAAGAGGGAAACAGACCTGATCTCCAGCTTCTGCCCCACCAAGTCCATGAAGCGAGTCCAGTTCATACCACCTGGGCAAACTGCTGTTAATTTAACAAGTAGAAGACTGATACCCATTTAGTAAACCAGAGAGTTCACCGCTGCAAATGTACTCTTCTGCTAACAGGTTTCTATTCCAAAAAGATTGCTCTGACTTCAAAGAATTTTGCCTAGACTACATATTGTAGGATGCCTAATAACACACTTATAAAGATACTGTTTTGGTTTTTGTCTGTTTTCCCATATTTTTGATATTATGAGTTTATATTGGTTTGTAGTCAAAAATAGTCTTGAGCTTTTTAGGATAATTGTTCTTCTCAGCCTAGACTCAGTCAAAGCATCAACGTCCATTATTATAACTGGGAGTGCTGTTTCATCCTTGGAAGATGCAGGTAGCTTTGGATTACTGTTACTTTTTAAGGAATTTCCTTAACTTATGTGTAATGTGAAGAGAGCTGCCAGGCTGTTGCTTGCCCTCCAATTAAACCTCTGGGTTGTTTTTTTTTGTTTGTTTTTTTTGTTTGTTTGTTTGTTTTGTTTTTTATTTTGTGTAGGGTAAAATGTGTTGAACAAACTGAAATACTTCAGCTGTCTCTCCTCATTTGTGCATCTTATCTGTAAGAGATACCTCAGCTTGGCAGGTTAGGACTTGCAATGTAAAGTTGCTGTCAGTTCTGTAAGTTCCCTACATCCCAGAAATCTGAATAAATAATTAAATAAGTACCTAAATAGTGAATGGAAAAAGATTTTTAATTAACTTACTTCCTGCTTTTATTTTCCTTTGCTGTAAAATTCATGCTCCCTCTTGTCCATTTATGCAATCTGCCTTTGCTCTTGCACTGATATCCAGGGGGTGTTATCTTGCCCATTTAAGAATATGCCACAGAACCTGGGTATGAGAGGGACCTTATTAAATCATCTAGTTAGTCCTCCTGCCGGTGCAGGACTGTTTCTTCAATACCCTGGAGTCCTCTGGCTGCAGTTTGGGATAGTTCACTTGATACAACTCTCAAAACTCTTGCTCAGCAATTATTCCACAGTTTCATAGATGTGTCATTAAGAAATGCAGTCACATACTAATTTAATTCATTTAAACATAAGTCTGTGCCAACAACTCAAAACAGCTGATTTGGAAGATGACTTAAAACTACCTGTCATTTCTCCCCATCATGATCAGTATGGATGGGAAAACACAGTGCTTTGATCCATCCAGGAGGCAGGGAGGAAATCATTCACTTCATTCAGATCAAGTCCGTAAGTGGCACCGCTAAACTGATGTAACTAAAGTAAGGTATACTTGGTTTAGTTTTTTCCATTTCTGGTATGCGTTTTAAGGTTTACTTGATGTTTGTGTATTAATGAGGGAATTCTCATTAGGAAAAAAACCACTAGTTTGCTAAAGCTTTGTGCCATAAAATTACTGCCCTTACCGGTGTGCCAATTGCCACAGGATGCCTGACAGATTTCATCAATGTAATTTGGTAACATCTCCATTTTCGAGACAAGGGTCTTACGTGAACATTACTCCATTCGAATTCTGCTCTGGGCCTGTGCTGTTCTTTGCTATTAATGCAAAGGCCAGTCTTTTAGTAATAGTCAATGAAACTAATCACTTAGATAATTCCTTTAGCAGATGTTTCAAAGGCATGCTTTTGTTAGAGATGTATGAAGTCATTTTAAAAGTTCTGCAAGACAGTGATAGTACTGTGGGCAGGAGATGTATGCTGTTACTGAGGCCTGAATCAAGAAACCTCACAATTTCTGGAAGCACAATACTTAGCAAGAGAGTTCTTTTTTCTTACTGTATTGTGTTTGGCACTAAAATAGTTCCACAATACCTATAATATTTTAAAGCACCAAACCGTTTACCTCTGCAAAACCTTGTGTACTCAAGATATTGGGGTTTCTTTCCTGTTTGCAAATAGAAGACAATAAAATCCTTGAAGTCTTCTAATTGTACATGTTTAAGAAGTCTTGGTACCTACAGCACTTCACTACTTGTAGGCACAAGAACCTGGCAGAGCTTGATCTGGGGGTATTAGTGAAGCTTGCTGGCATTGTAGCTGAATTTTCAGTTGAAGATAAAACTTTATTTTTGAGGTTGTTCATTTGGAGCCCCAGAATACCTGTGGGTTAGACTTCACTATGTCTTTGAAGCAAATACAGATGTGTTCTCAAGGAGAACTTTTGGAAGAGAAATTTTTTTACCAAAATGTCCATTTGATAACCTTTATAATCTGTCAGTCTGTGTTGGCTAAATTGGATCTTTTGAGCATAGCATCTGGAAAACATACATATCTCACAAATTTCCAAACTGGTAAGGCTAATAACTGTGTATCCATACTTAGTAAATTTGTCAGAGACATTGGTATACATTCTCTTTAAAAATATTATTCCCCTGTATTCTTAAGAAGTTTTCTTTGTGGGAGAGTGGGGTTTGGTCCTAAGAATATCATGCTTTAGTAGTGTTCAGGGTTTTTTTAAGTTTTATTTGGTTTGTGGTTTGTCTTATTGTATGATTTAAATATGAGGCTACTCTGACTATAACAATCTAACTGATGCTTTCCTCACTATTAGGAAAGGAAAGTCCTCCAACTAGTGATGTCCCTGATGATCCAGATGAACCTATGCCTATACCAGAGGACCTTTCAACTAGTACTGGAGGTCAGCAGAGTTCTAAGAATGACAGAATCTTGGGTAAGATAACAAATACACTCTAATAAGAAATACTAGTAAATGATATAGCAATGATGTTAAATTACTTTTTCACAAGCTGACAAACAAGCAGTTCCTGTGCCTTTCCATCTTCTTCAGGTGCATAGTGTTTTTTGTGCATCCTTTTCTTTGGGAAAGGCATCTTCATCCACAGAAAACTTATAAAGATCCTGCTGTTTATCTTCTTACCATGACTGTTGCTTGATATCCTCACCAGGAAAGAGAGTTTTCATTCTGTGTAGGAAATGGAATGAAATATGTGGTCCCAGGTCAAAATTATATGAAGTCAGACTTGATAAATATTCAATAAATGCTAAGGTATTTTTGTTATTATTTTTATTCTTAATTTGAGTGTTGTCTTGAATATTATAATAATATTATAATAATATTATAATATTACTATGTTATCTGCTATTCAGATTTCTTCAGAAATGCATATTAGAGCATACATAGTATTTATATATTTGAGATTCCAATATCTGAGCTCCATTTATCTTTGATTTTTTACCTGGGAGAACTTTAGAAAACACTTATCGTTTAGATAAAAATCCACACTTAATAAAGTCTGTTGGGTTAAAATTTTTGTCCAGAGGTGATTGTGCAAAATGCTGATTATTCTTAGGGATCCCCAACTCACATCAAGGACTAGCAATACTGATGACTTCTGTATGCACCAGCTCCCACATAGTGCACTAAAAAGACTAAATATTACTTGAGCACCGTGCCTGTTTACTAGTTAGAAAAAAAAAAAGGAAAAGAGGGAAAAAAAGCACAGTGACTCCCAGAATGCTTTGATAAATGCCCTATATGATAAAAATATTTCTGTAAAAAGATGACTATCAAAGTACAAGTATTTACCCACAAATAAAAGTATTGCTCGTTATTCTTACATTATTGTAAGAGTAAGGGTCAGGGTGGACAATTTACAGAAAGATTGCAAGTGCCTTTAAATATTAATTGTTGAAGGAAATCCAGTAAAGGATACTAGGTGGAAAGAAAGGCACAGAAGACAAAATAATTTTTAAAAAATTAATTCAACATAATGCAGTAGGATGGTGTCAGCGTTAGGAATAGAACCTACTCCCAAACTCCAGTACTAGCTAGTAGTGAGTGCATCATCTTATGCATCTTCATTTTATTTACCATTTGATCCCCTCTTATCAAAAATGTGAGCAAAAATTTCAGCTCCTAAGTGCATATTGGCATACTTTATGAAAAAAAAAATATTTAAAAGATGCTTTTAAACAATATGATCATTAACTAAATGATTTATTTTTCAGTCCAAAGATCTTTGGACAAAATCTTTCATTAACTACTTGTCTATCAATTCAGTAAACTCCTTTTTCCCACAGTAACTAACCCAACACAATATTTAAGTCTTGAGTCAAAAAAATTAAATTTTTAAGTTCTTTGCTCAAACCCAAACACAATTTTTCATTGTACTGATTTTTCTTTAATATGCACATGAATATTGTGAAGACCCAGCAAAATTGAACTTTATATTTGCTAATGATGTAATGATTCTGCCAACAGTTCAGTCATATATCAATATGTACACATATTCTAAATATGATAAGTTCCATCTGTTATTCTCATTACTCAGCAATAAATTAGATTTGCCATTCCTCACATTAACAATTTTTCTATAGCCACTCTCTCTACTCATAGGTCTTTTATTTACAAGGGTTATATCTTGTAGTGAGACATTTACCATAGCCAACAGAAAGAAAGACAATTCACAATACTCTGTTTTACAGATGATCTGTAGGTGTCAACTCCAGTGCTTGCAATGTTTGTCTTTTCTGTAAAGCTGCATACACTTTTACCTCTTCTATTGCTCCTTTTTGCTAGCTCCCTGAAAACTGTATACTAAAAAAATTAATTCTCCCTTTTTACAAAAAGGATGCAAATATATGCCCCAGGCATATCAGAAGACATATGATTGCTGTGCACATTCTGGATCTTCATCAAAAGAAAATTTCTTAGCAATAAAATAATACTTTAGGAGTGATGTTTGACCTACATGATCCTATAGGTGTATTAGGGGTGAAGGGGCATTCCTATGTAGGCAGTGGCAGTGTAGGCAGGCTTGGTGTTTAGTACAACACTGTCATTGCCAAGTCCCAAGATCTGTTCCTCACTGCTATTTATCACCACACTTCGGTAGACAAGAATGATCTGAAAAAGTAGTTTGAAGATTGAAAGATGGAGAGGAGAGCATTGTAAAGACCCACTGATGTTATCTGTGTGCATCTGGCAGGTGAGAGCTGGACTGTGGCCTGTGATAACCAACAGGCCCTGCATGAGCAGATATGGCCAGCCAAGAATTTCTCTCTGTATCACTTTCCTAATGTCCCATCTATTTCTTTCATCGAAAGGGAACTCCCTAGCATTTGGATTTATTTCAATATTTATTTATTTAATTCAGCATTGGGTTTACAGTGCATTCAACTTAACCTGTAACATCCTGAGAGATCAGCTGTCCATACAGCATACACCAAGGAATTTGAGTTAGACATTTAATGAAGTCCTCTACATTCTGGAGGACCTTTTTGTACACATAGGGCTATAGAGATAACAATGGTAATTGTTAAATGAAAAGGATAAATATTTACCTCGTCCTACTAAAATTAGGTGAGAAATCTTTTTTTAGTTTTATTCAGCCTGTGGGACAGAATTGTTCAAGTGACAGCTTGCATACTCAGATTTGTAGTAACATTTAATGAAATAACTTTTAACCCTGGAGTCAAATTTCTCATCAATTTAGTGTTTCAAAGGTCGAAGATTACCGGAAATAAGCTATTTTTAGAAAAGAAAGATAGGCTCTACTCTTCCATGTGTTTTTTAAAATCTCCTTTTGTGCTTCTTCCAAACATGTACTGAGATTTTAATGTGGTGCTACAAAGCTGATAGAAACATTTGAAATATTTCTCCTGCTCTGAGAATGAAGATGTTGAGGTCCTCTAATTGCTAGATTTTATTGGTTGCCTTTAGTTTTTCAATTATCATTTAAAATTACTATAGAGGGTGCAAATTTCATAAAGAAGGTACCCAGAGGATCATGAAATATGTGTTGGCTGTTGTCCCCAGGCAGGGGGGGATGCTCAGAGCATGGGTTTCTTCTGACCAGTACAATAATTATCAACGGGTGTGAAAGGGTAATTTACGGAAGTTAAGTCATCCACAGTTTCTAGCAATAACCCCAAGTAGCACAGCAAAGCAGGAACATATTGGAAGAGATGTTATGGTCACCATCAAGGTTCTTCATTTCCTTGATGAGCTTACTATGATTCTAATGTTGCAACCCCCAGAAAGCCACTATGTGTTGAGCAGCTTCCTTCTGCATCCTAATTTCTGCTGCTCTGTCCACTAGGTTGTCTTCCTTCCTTGTCCTATTCTTCACCCAAAATTTACTTCTCAGGCTGACCTGGCACCTATAATATTTTATTATTTTCTTCTAGCTCTTTTCACCCATGTGCTCTACAGATAGTTTTTCTAGAAAACACAGTGAAGATTTTCAGCAAAGTGTGAGATTTTCACTGCTCTTTAAGGCTCTAAAGACCTTGTTTTGTCATCTTTCCTAAATACTGTTTTGCAATCTTGGTCTGAGTTATTTAGAAATCCATTGAAGACCCATTCCATTAAGAATTAGTGCTTTGCAGCCTGTTTTGAACAGCTCTATTTCCCATGGTACCCTACTAGAAATATAATTTGATAATTCTCAGTTTCCGCAAGTCTCAGGTTAAACGTGTGCACCTTTTGTGGATGATCAGTACTGAACATCCTGTGTGTGGTAAACAGTTGCAATTTAGGGCTGTTTGTGCTCTGAGACTGCATCCTAATTCAGGCCATGTGTGGGAAGTTAATGAGTCAGTGATCTGTAGATCAGACCCTACTTCATGGATAAAGCCATTTGCTGTAGTGGTGGCATTTGTCTAGAAAGGTAGGCAGTGCCTTCCTTTATCCATAATTGTCCATTCCATAGGTGGCCATCACTGGATAAAAAAAGCCATCTCAAAGTGTGTTAGCAGCCTCAGAAAGAGGCTATGGGCTCACCATTTCTGCATAGATAGCTGTCTGGTGCTGGAGATGACCATATAAACTTTTAAGACAGAAGTCAAAAGTTACCACTGCAGTCACACTCTGGGCCTGCAACAAATAATGTGTAGACATCTTTTTTTAAGAGGTGGGGAGAATTCATCTCACAAAATTGGGTTGAAATTCGTACAATTGACAAAGTATACCAAAAGTAACCAGTCAGGGTGATCATAGACATCAGTAGAAAATATTTATAAAGTTATAAAGTCTATTTTTTTAAAATAAATTAGTATGGAAAATGACATTAAAAGGAAGATTTTTTTTTTGACATTTTTCTCTCCCAGTGGGAAATACCAAGTGATGATGTTGTGTCCCTTCCACAACTCAGTTATTGAAGCAGAAGCCTGTGTAGCTGCAGGCTTCAGTGCCTGCATCTCTGGGACCCTTGCATTGCCTTCACACCTTGGGGTCCTTCCTCTCAGTTACAACCCTTCAGAGGTTGTAACCTGCATGAGGAGCTACTTACTTACTTACTTACTGATGCAGGCAAGTGTCCCCTCTCTGATCAGCTTTGATGCTTTGTTTCCTTAAAAGGAGCTCAACCATTTGAGAGCATGGGCACAAGTATTGCTGGGGGGCCACCAGGCAACCACAACCATTGCCATTACATAAATCTACTGCAACTCACATACAGCTGGGTGGAGAGAGTAGAAGTGTGGAAAGGCTGCAGATGGAGGGGAAAAGCGAGGAAAGACAAAAGGGGAAGTGCCCCACCCCAGCTTGCAAAATCAGTCCTGTGGTTCAGACAGGTCCAGCGCACTGCTGCCCTGGTGATTCTGCTGGGCAGGGAAAAGGGCTGAAGAAAAAGACTGCTGGAGCTAAATATCATTGCACACTCCTTCTTGTGGGTGCTCAGTGGTTGTGAAGGCAGTGAATAATAAAAT